GATTTATAATTGTAATATTTTTTCATTGACCTTAGTTATTATGCCCATATGTTGGTGTTAGAATAAAGAATTCTCGAGTTGCCAATCGGTGTTTTGTTTTTTGCGTCCATTAGTACTAAGCGTTTCTGAAAGCCTTCGAGGGACAACGAGAGGCCCGGCGCAGCAAGAGCTGGGCATTAACGGTTTTGAGACGTGATTGACATATATATTATTATTAAAGATGGTGTTTTAAGGCTTGTCCAATCAAATGTTGGGGGGTTGAAGTCGCCGACTATGAGACTTCGACATATGGATATCCAGGAGCCTAGGTTCTCCATTAAGAAGTCATTTGCGCTGCAGTTAGAACTGCGTTACACAGCAATGAGGTCGATATCTTGGCCGATGCATTTAGCTTTGCAGCGTAGACGTTCTCATGACTCACTTGCGTAAGCGAGTGCTTCGATGCTACGCATGGTTAAGCATTTCTTGATGTAGATGAATACGCCACCTTGTTTTTTCCTATTCGGTCCACCCTATGCACTTCGAGGTTTGGTTGAATAACTTTGTTTTCTGGTGACATCGGTTTTGAGCTTAGTCTCTGTATTAATGATTACACCCAGATTTAAGGAGTCTGTCGTATTACGTAGCTGAGTCCGTTTGTTCATCAGGCTGCAGGCGTTTATTTAGCAAAGTAACAGTTCAGTTTTTGCTTCCGCGGCCTACCCAAAGAGTTTGCGGTATCATCAAACTTCGAACTTTGACAACCGGAAACCCCTTATCTTCGGGTTTTTCACTGTTTTAGCGTCGTTTTCCTAATTATAGGGCCGGAGACTATGTTTTGACACAGTCTTCTAGGCACAAGTCAGCACGGACGTATATTCCTGATCGTTCAAGATTTGTGGGAGTTGGTTAGAATGGTAACCGTCTCTTTTTGGTGTTTTGTACGACTTCGAGGAGGTGTACAGGCTGATTTACCGCAGAGTCAGTCCTTTGGCCGGTTCTACATAAACTGTGTATGATTATGCCTGATACTGTTGTTGGCAGCAGCTTGTCTAAAGTGGGCTTGACCAAGTTAATGCCTTGCTCGTGCCCGACCTTGGGATTGGAGGTCTATGATTCCTCCGCTTTCGGGAGAATGAGCGACCTGTGGGAGAAATCAGGTTTGCTTGCTGTGGCTTTCTTCCACTGCGGCGTAAACGTCTTTTCGTCCTTCGTGGACAGAGTGGTCAGTGTGTTGCGTTTATCTCGCTTTTTGCGATAGACTATACTACGATATTCATTGTTGTCCTTCTCACTAACCGTAGTCGATATTATCTGCCTGCTATTCACCGGTCTGAACGAGGCTTGATCTAGAAGTCCCTGGTATATTAGGGCTGCGGGTTTTGGACCCCTGGTACGCCTCGTCTTCGTGCCAGTCTTTCTTTTACTGTAATTGGAGGGCTTATCCGGTATAGTGAGGGCAGCATGAGAATCTGTATTATAGAGAGTGCTCTCTGGTGCTAATGGGCACTCAGTCCTTTACAGAGATGCATCAGGCGCGTGTACTGCGCTGTTGGTGACTCTGGTCATGTCATCGGTGTCTGAGCTGTAGTCGCTCTTCTCTCGGATTGGAGGACCCTTGTTTTCCAGGAGCTTTAAGACCCACCTGAGAGTGGCAATACCTTCCTTTATACGAAACTTAGTCGTTATAAGGCAGTCACCGCACAATTAGTTCGACAGAGGTTTGCAGCAGCGCTTGTATGGTTCAGGAGATGGGCTTGTGAACATGCTGTGAAACCATGTCTTGCAGTTATCACACTGAATTGCCACTCCAACCGGAAATTGGCGCATAAATCTTACACAGTGGTTCCTTTTATTAGGCATAATTATCAGAGTGGATTTGGGCAGAGAGTTTCAAACAGGACCCTATATATGACCTCTATAAATCAGTGATAAAATACAGATTAGTGCACAAAAATCGATGTATATAACTGTTAAGCTACAAGAACAAAACTCCCAACAATTAAATAGACTCGAAATTTAAATGCGAACTAACTTTGATCAGAATAAATTGATTTACAGTTCATCTATATAGTTTTGGAGCATATAACACAACAAAAGCCAAAATTAAGCAAAAACGAGCAAAATTTACACCACTTTTGAAAATCAGTGCCGAAAAAGTGAATCGCACAGAGCATATATCTACGATATGGTGCAAACCTTCCCCAGTTTCTCGTAGAAGTGAATATAGACAATTAAGAACAATTGTAAATGTCCAGGCCTTGCTACGCTGGACCACACGCTGTCCCTGGAGGACTTTCAGAAACGGTTGGTAATAACCAACGCGAAAAACCAGAACACAGGTTGGCGACTCGAGAATCCTTTCTTCCTACGCCAATATGTAACCAACAATAAGGTTATTACACACAAGGTCTAAAAATGTCATAATAGTAAATCACGATATTACTTCTGGCAGGTTTTTGACCTGCTTTCTGAACAGCGACCGATGGGACGATGATTGCTGGATTGATGACTGCAACGAAAAATATGGAGGAGTTGGGTTTGAGCAAACAACCATGAATTGATCGTTCAGTCTTCAACTACATTTATTTTGCATATCTGTGAGTTATCTCTGCTCACTGATTCCCCTATGTTCCTAAACGCAAATGACTTGAAAATTTAGAGAGAATTGAACGGTAAGAGTGATTCGCTCACCTTGCGAAATGGCCTGAGCACATCATCAGAGTGGTCCGGACAACAGACTCTCCCGATCAATGTAGCAGAATGTGCAGCCATGCACATAAAACAAGCAAATATCAGCTGGTACGAACTGAAATATATAACACTCCCTGTCGGCCACGTATCGTAAACCGTCAATGCGCAGCTCTTGCTACGCTGGGACTCACGCTGTTCCTTGAAGTTTCTCAGAAACGCTTAGTAATAACGGACGCGAAAACCAAAACACCGATTGGCCACTCGAGAATTCTTTATTGTAACACCAACATATAAATAATGTTATCATTAAGGTCTGTGAACAAATTTTACAATAATAAATATCAATATTACATCTGATGGTTTTCTCCTGACTTCTTTCTGAACAGCGACCGATGAGACGATGACTGTCGTATTGATGCCTCCGCGAAAATTGGGGAAGTTGGTTTTGAGCAAACAACCATGAATTGATCGTTCAATCTTCAACTGCATTGACACTCCCATTTGTTCAGACGTTTTTGAATTTAAGTGTTATATTTAGCCACGATTCATAAACTGCAGCACACTACCACACCGTGTGTGCATGTATCTTTAGATGCTTATGGGTAATTCGCATATCCTTCACCAGGATCATCAGAGATATATTTAGCTGATTAGTTGCACTCACTCCTGAGCTCTTTCTAAGGTTGTACAAAACATACGTCAGACCACACCTTGAGGTGCATAATATTATTGCACCCCCACTGCTTAGAAGAGACTCCAACCTCTTGGAAAGAGTCCAACGACAGGCAACAAAAGGAGTGGTCGGTCTCCGAAATAAACTATATGATGAAAGGCTGAAGAAGTTAGGCCTATTCACACTTAGCTACCATCAGCATAGGGGGATTTGATTACTGCCCACAAATGAGCAGATGGCCAGTAGCACCCAAACAAAGGTGTTCTGTCGTTGAGTAGGTATAGGCTTCCTCGTGGAAATCCCAGAAGGATAGCTCACCAGAGGGCAAGGACCCGGGTGGGCTCCCACCTCTTTTCACTGTGAGTTTGCCGTCCCTGGAATTCCTTACCGGCAGATGTAGCTATGGCACCGTCTGTAGATGCCTTTAAGCGAAGGCTGGACAACCATGCAGCGACACAAGGACTGCGTCCAAATGGCCCATCCCCTGAAAACCCCATACACCATTCAGGGGTAGACAACCAAGTTCGTCATTCTACTTCTTTACATTCTCTCCGGTCTTACACTCCTGACAGCTTTAACTACACTTATTATCATCATTATTACCGGTATATATATATATATTATTCACATTATTCTTCAAATTTAATCAGCTGACTGTTGTTACGTTTTCTTACTTCTTTTTTGTCTGTTAGTCTGAATAACTTCACTAATTATATCTATCATTATTACTATTAAGATTATCTCTTTTCTTTTGACGAAGATACCGGAGGACTAACTGGTGGAAGGATCAACTCCATTCACAGTAATAACAGTCTTAACACACCTCATACTACGGACCACATATAATTAATCCCAGCACTAATCCTTTTGGAGTCGACCAAAGCTACGACATTTGAGTGGAGGGACGAGCTACGCAGAAGTTTTCCGAAGATCAGGAATCTATACCTGACAAAGAAATCAAATTGGTTTATACTAGCTGTTTAAAATTATATTGGATATTGAATCACCACGTGCATAGATGACCTTCAAGTGCTCGGGCTCCTCGTAAGACGTTTTGTGCCGCTATCCTCAGTGGTGAGGTTAACATATGTATAATGATGGCATGCTAGGGAGAGAAAGGCTGCGAGTTTGTGAGATTCTTTAAAGTCCCCGTAACTGGGATTTGTTTACTACTTGGTGAATGAGTCAGAAGAGTGCCATAGTTCTAAAAGCTACAGGCGTAATACCTCGCAGTCAGAGAATGTACCTGGATAAAGCGGACAAGACGTGGGCTGAATGGGTAATTTCGATAGATAAAAGGGGGTTAAAATGCCATATAACTAACCCACTACTTATATTAGCCACTTTATTCCCTTTTCTCATGTCCCAAAAATTTTATTGTCCCAGTTTACTTACTTTTCCAACTTTCAACCAACACTTAACTCATACTGCATCCGGAAACAGCTCACTTTTTCCCACTTTACCTAATTTCGAACGGGAAACTGCCCGCGTTTTAACCCACATATCTCAGGTCCAAAAATATAAGAGTCTGTCGTTTATTTTTACCGGTGTGTATTATTGAGTATACCGTTTCAAACTAGATTGATTTAATATAATTATTTCATCTTTTATAGATACTTGACGAGTTAGCTTTACAATCATTGTCGTAAGGATTATGGTAAGTGATTGTGATTTTAGATGAATTTCGTCACACTTCCTTTGCCAGTTACCTTATTAGTGTTGGTTTGATTTTACTGTATTCTGATGGGATTTTGGTTAGACTGATGAATAATGATGTTACCGGGTATTCTGACTGATTCTCGAAAGGTTTCAGAAGATGCCCAGGGATAAACTGGAATTGAGCAGTTTTACAGGAAATGTATTGCATAGTTTATCCAATGTAGCTAGTTTGATGGATATCTGATGGATAAGTATTCAGATACGTCGTGTATACACTAGTGCTATGGACCTGGTGTTCTATGACTAAAGTCTCTTGTACACAAGCTTTACACCTCTCGTTAGTTTGTGTATTGAAGTGAAGCAGGCTTCAGATTATACGGATCGAAGGCTCTTGTTCCCTATATTAATCCTTGCAATATATCTACAGAGATCTAATTTCTCTTTCAAATCGTTGACCGATGGAGCTGTAACTTCTGAGTCAAGTAAGGAGTTCCAGTAGTTGACCACTTTGTGAGAGAATCTAAATTCAACACGTATTTTATTTGACCTTGGTTTGAGCAACTTGTGATAATCTCGTAAATGTACGTCGGTAGCAAAACGGTTAGGACTCTCGTCGACCATGCAGATGGTCTGGGGTTCGATCCCCTGCCGACTCACACTTGATATTAATGGTCGGCCTGCAAGATTTGGGCTGCCGATATCACATGCTGAAAATTCCGTACATGTACCAAAAAGTAATGGGTAGAATCAAGCTATAGTCAAAAATAAAAAATGCATAAAATAAGATCCTGGAGGGAGAGAAAAGATTTGAAACGTCAATCCCTGAATCACCCTTTAATATGCGGTATGCCAAAATTAAGTCGCCTTTCTTTCTTCGGTATGATAATGGGAAGAGATTTCAATGCTCCATCCTCTTTTCATAAGGAAGTTGTGAGATACCACTAACTGATTTGGTTCCTACCCTCCATACTCTTTCCAGTATGTGTGCCTCCTTCCTGCAGCATGGACTCACCGCTTGTACGCAGTATTCTAGATGATGTCTGACATATGTTGTATAGAGTACTTGAAACACACTCGTCCAATCGTTTAAAAGCCCTTCTGAAGGCCCATAGCATTCGAAAAGCCTTAGCTGCGGCTCCATTATAGTTTGCCGTTGTTTTTAAGTCATGGCTTACAATTATTCCTGAGTCCTTTGTCCTCTAACATCTGGCAGTTCTGTCCCCCAAGGAGTATGACGTGTAAGACCTCTGACCTAGGTGCATTACCGCGCTTTTCGTGGAATTGATTACCAGACTTCAGAGGTTAGCCCATTCAGCTAATTTATCTTGATCGTTTTCTAGTATCAACTTACCGTCATTATTATTTACAGTTTTCCATATCTTAATATCGTCCGAAAATAATAAGGAAGATGAGATAAGAATTTTCAGGAGTTCATTTACGTAAAATAAGAATAGCAGGGGGCCAAGAACAATTCCTTGAGGTACTCCACTCAGTACTACTTTCGACCCTGACAGTACGCTATTAACATTGAGACTGTTTCGTGACATAAATATAGGCATACTGTATATCAAACAGACCAGTTGTTCGCTATGCATTCATATTTTCATGCCAGTGGTGACTATATTTTGCATATCCACCACTCATCAAGACTTCAGAAGATTAGTGTTGACTTATATCTTACAACTTTTCTCTTAAACGACAGCAGCACAAGTGCAAATAATCGACAGACGAGGGGGTTGGAATCTTCTGCTGTAACTATTTAGTATCTTCAGTTAACTGGAAAGTTTCTAGTTTACTCACAGATTCCATATGATGTAATCCTCGAGGCTTCATGTGGTTGTGGGGCTGATTTAGATTAGTTTATTCAAAATAGTTTAAGAAAGATTGCTTAAAGTGTGCAAGTATTGGATCATTAATAACATCTCAAAACCGCCTGAGTGTAACGGTCTTAACCAGGTAGCATGAAGTTTAGGCAAGTTACTTCATACCGGGAGTACAATAGTAGAGATTTCCAGATATCTCAAGAGAATCACACAGTTGTCGCGTTGTGCATCATATATTTTCTGAGTAGTAGGACGCTTGTTCTCACCTAAAGTCATTCTGCCACGTTATAGCTTATGAGGTAAGAATTTCTAAACTGTTACCACCTTTATGATGCCACCAGGAGTGTTTACTACGCCTGTAACCGAAGATATATATGTTTATTCTGGTTGGCTGGAGTTATCATTGCAGTTTAGCCGGTCGCAGTATATGACTTATCAATGTACTTCTACTTATTTCATGTTTGTACACTTGTATATGGTTTTTTGCATCACAAAAACAGTTGTAGTTAACCTTTTTGAAGGGATTGTTGGAATGGTATTTGTTTTTTTCCTGTTGCTATACAATTCCTATATTTGCGCAAAATGTCTGTGAATTAAATCCGTTTTCAACATTACACAGGACTTGGAAGAAGAGAATCACAGGTTATTAAACAAATTGAATCTGCTAGAAGAAATGGAGATTGTGTATCGTGGTGAAATAGAAACTCTTAAGGAAACTATTACTAATTTGGAACAGAAAAAGTCAAGAGCATCCCAGAATATTGATTGTCAGTCGGCCAACAGTTTAGAGATATCAAGAAAGAAAAACCAACTGACTGAGGAGCTTGAAGCTGCCAGAAATTCGGAGACTGAACTGTTAGAACAATTGGAGGTTTATCATAAGAAATTGAACAAAATTTGTAGGGTTAGTTTATCTGTTGTGCTTATTTTTGAACATTTGAATGAGATCAGAAGAGAAACTTCCTCCATTCCGTACAAAAAGTTTAGATAGTTGGTGATAGTTTTCTTTCAAACTGATGGGGCATTTATTTCGATTCACTTGTAATAAGAAGTAGGAGAGCGTCTTTACAGGTTAGGATTTGCTGCTTCAACGGGACAGTTAGGAAAATTAATGCAGGGCATTCCACAAAAATGTATCTGAGCTGCGTCTTATCACTCATCTTTCCATGTTGTATGCTGGGTCTGTGAAATGTTACAGCAGTCAATTCAGAGAATTATTAGCGTAGAACTTTGCATAAAATTGTATTAATTTAAGTTGCCACACTGTAAAAGCGCATAAAGTTTGGGGAAAAGTGATTAAGTGGAATATAATGAGTATTCCTGAAGGATCATATAGACTAGAAAGCTGTCTACCTTTGGGAACTATTTAGAGCAATGCCAATATTTGTGAACAAAGTTATCACATTGGAGTCCGGTTCGTTGACAGTCTTCTCATAGTTGTCATCGTGTCATTTCTCCCTCTTTGTTGTTGTTTCTTACGGATCCTTTTATTGCAAAGAATACTGCATCTTTCAGTATCTCCTACCAATAAGTTTGTTCTGTCTTTCAGATCATCACATTTATTTAGTCTTATTTTCAGTGCAACTTTAGCCGTTTTATGGGTGCTTTTGTACTCAGACTGTCTAGTATTATATCGGTTTTATTGCCTGTAAATGGTTTAACTAATCCGAATGAGTCTAACATTCCTGGTGTTGAGCTGTCTTGGTTTAAGTATAGCAACCAAGAATCTTGACGAGATAAGCATTGGTGTGTTTGTGAAATCCAAAATCGCTCTGATGGGATGGGTTTCTCTATGTAGTATTGTCACACCGTCTATCCGATGTGTAATACGCGATTTTGTCATAATTTCAAACCATATGGACTTGCCAATCGTTTCCTCTCATTTTCTACCTACTTTTCCCACCTCATCGTTATTTTGGTGATAGTTTCCGATAATTTGGTCACTAAAAATAGGTTCCGGATTCTAGATTTCATTCTTCCCAGTTTTATGAAGGATTACTGGTGTATTTCTTTCTTATGTGTGAAGGGTTACTATGCAGTTTGTCCTCGTTATTTAGGAAAAGTGTTTAACATCTAATCAGCAGACATTATTGTTTCATTATGGTTTAGTTTAACACGACTATCGCTGTATTAGATTGTGTAAAATTCAACTCCTAGAAATGCATGCATTCTTTTTCAGAATCCTTCCATTCCAACGTTAACTGAAGTTGAACTATTAGAAAATGAACTATCCGAAATGAGAGTAACTGAACAACAGGATATACCGCCATTGTATCGACGTGTCGAAGAATTAGGACAGGATTTTCTTGATTTACAGAGTTATGCGAATGAATTAAAGGAGATGTTAAAGGTACGAGTGAGTAATTTTAAAGTGTATAGCATGCGTATCGCGTGTATATATTAGGGTTAATAAAGCCTCCCATGAAGTGAAGTCAACTCTAAGCCGTTTGACTCTATCCTTAAAGTAGGGGAGTCAGTACAGAAGAGTAGTGTAGCATCAACTTACATTTTGACAGGGACGAATCCCATGTCAAACGTGCTGAGATTTCTGCTCGAGGTATCCAAAAGAGTGCGTTGTGTCAATGTCTTTACTTCTGTATCCGTATCATCTGAATACACTTTTTCAACAGTAAACAAAAATATGTTCACTTCTCCATCTATTTAGATATAAAAAAATAGGTAGAATCTAGATTTACGAGTTGATCACAGATTGATATCAGTTAGAGAACCATTGAAAATAAGCAGGGAGTACTGGACAGCTGCTGTTTTATCCTAGCTTGGGAATCGAATCGTCGACAGCACGCACCCATTGTGGTTCGAACCCAGGACCTCCCGGTTTCAAGGCAAGCTCGTATACCACTCAGCCATTGGGACGCGATTCAATGGCTAATGAGTTCTAAATTCTACCGATTCGTGATCAACTCGTAAAAACAAAACTAATCCTTACAAACCGACTATAGAAAATTGCATAGAAACGCATCTTTGAGCACACATAATTTACGTTCTTTGGAGCATCATCAGTTAATATTACTGTATAACACTGTGATTTATCAAAATAAAACCTTATCCATAATGGAGTTATACTCTACCACAGTGCCCAAGTTTTATACTTATATCAATAATACGTTCTTGGGATGTTAACTCAGTAGGAATTTTTTCCTTACTGTTTAAAGGATCTCTAAGTTGTTGGTTATCATTTAGTTACATTCGTCTTAGTGTAACGCGAAATTCCATTAGTCTCCCCATTGTGTTTGATCCAAATTATGAAATAACTCGTTTTTCACACCTTCAACTCACACGTGATTCGAATTTTGAATGATATGAATGACAGTTTTTTCGAAATCTTTATTTCTATTCCATTAAGGAACGTCACTCAGAATTAGAAGACGCTGAAGCTCAGTATGAAGCCTTGCAAAATCAACCCAGTTCCACACAAACAACTTCTCTGTTTGATGAAGTTAGTATATAATGCAATGTTAATGTTAAATGTATTTCTGAAAATATTACATTTATATTACATTTCTTGTATTCAACAAAGTGAAGCGTATTAAGACAATTTGCAATACTTTTTCTTACTGTTATTACTAGTGCTTCTGTTATTTTACCATCAGCAGCACTTAGTGATAAATAGTTCACTATTGATTCCAGTATGTAGCGATGTGTATCAGTTAAATTGTGTTCCACTAGTATTTGGAGCCGCATCGTTATATAACTAAATGAAGAGTATTCGATTTCTTGGTTTTGCGACAATATGAAGACTTTGGTTGATTCATCTGTGATTACAGTTCAGGAGATTGTTTCTACCTGGGAATTAGTTGTTATCAATGAGAAACCACCATTGTGTTGATCTTCACCATGTGGTATACATTCAATAATAATAATAATACCCAAACTGTTTTCTGTACTCGAATACATATCCTGTTTGTTTGCCTTCGTTAAATGTTACGATAACACTTACGACATATGCATATAAATATTTCATTACGGAATTTGTCAGATATTACCTTGAGGTACTAAATATGAACAGTGAGTCAACTAGTGAGGTAAAATGATGAAAAGTTCCATTCTGCATAATTATTACTTAGAATAAAATGATTATTATTATTGGTTCGGATTTTCTTAGTGCATTTACTGGCTATTTGTATTCTATTATTCATGGAGATATTACTGTAGAGCCTAAAGTTGTTGAAAATAGTTGTTCATGCAAAAATCAGCTTGTTCTGATTATATTATAGGGATATTTAGATCGATATTTTGTGTCGTTATTTTAGATGTGTGCTATTTTCTCGACGCAAATTGTTGCGGATCTAAGGAAGTATGCCTGACTGAATTTCAGTATAGCATTCAAATGTAATAATATTTACAGAGAATCAATCTGTGTTTGAACAAAATTTCAGGTTAATAAAGAACGCATACTTGTCGAACGAACGGTTGCTCAACTGAGTAAAGAAATCAAAGAATTAAGAGGACTCATGAAAAAAACTCACGAAGATTTTATAAATTCAGTTGTAAGTTATAAATGAGCTTAAAATGTTCACCCTCTAATATAATTAGCAATATTTTGTAACTTCCTGTCATCGGGCCATTTTGTTTCTCGGCAACATCAAAGTAAGTGTTCCAAGGTGAAATCACTCGCGATACACCATCATACATAAGCATATCCATTCGCTTACCGTGATAAGCCTATTGTGGTTGTTGCAAATTTCCGGATTTATGCAACAGTAATAATACTGAACTTGTAGATTTTTTCTTACTATTTCTTCTATGCAGCGATAATATATGACTGACCATTTGAACTATTACCACACTGAGAAGTCTGAAAAGGTAATGGTTTATTTCTCTATCCAAAAAAAACAATGTTACTGGAAATTGCAGCTATGTTGTTTATGTTACATAGCCAATAAATTACTAGTTTACGATGTGGATGTTTTGGCTGGCTAGTATGTATCGATAAAAGTCCACTAACCTGTACGTTTACCTGTATTGGGGTTAAAAGTCTGATAATGAAGGTCATGCAAATAATTAGGGATAGTAAACCTCTTTGTTTCCTACAAAGCACTAATGGCATTCAACTATTAGGCTTTATAGACATGGGGATGCAAAAATATGGATACAGTTGAATGAAGTATTGATTTCATTTATATTCGGTGTATCCGACCAACCTATTTTCAGCACATTGGGAAAACACTTAGATAGATGTCGTTGTAGCTGTAAATAATTCCCCAAAATTATTGACCATAGGAATCATCAGTGAACATTGGGTGCTGACCCAATGTTTAGCTGAAGGCTTCCGGTCAAGCATCCTCGCCATTTGGTACTCCGTCGTGTCACTTTCGTGCACGATCACTAACCAGCTTAGCTTCCGCTTCAGTCCACGGTTTGGTCCCGAAATACATATCTCGTAATTTAAATGATCAATCGTGTCTTTTGCTCTGCCTTTGGTCCACGAGAAACGAATACTATAGAAGTTGTTGATATTAGATCTTGCGTTAGTATATTCCGTACAATTCCCGAACGTCAATCTCTAAATCTTATTTAATCTAGATATATTTGACAGATTGTGTTGCAAGTAGTAACAATTTCAGTATATATTGAACAAAAGGCTCTGATCCTACTGGAGTTCTAAATTCTAATTGCACTAATATGTCTAGTTTTTGAATGAATGTCATCGTGGTTTTCCGAAGTTAATATTACAATTCTCATTTCTCACGCTTTATTTCATGACTTGGATGTTTTCATTTTTCATTTGGTGCCTACGCAGCAGGAGGCCTCAGCAACGATGTATGGAAGGTATTCAGAACGACAAAAAGATTTAAAGGATATAATACGTAGGGATTTTGAACATATACGTTGGGCAAATAAAACAGCTACTCGGCGAATGCAAATTTTTAAAGACATACAGGTTTGTTCAGTTTAATTTCTATTTATTTGTCAAGTATTCAGTTGTTTTATATAATCGATAGGAAATGCAAAAAACGTACTGTGGAATTTTCACACTAAAAATTCGTTCTAGGAGTAGTACAGTTAAACTGTCTTTATTTGACTGTTATGAGAATTATTTTTCTTTTTGGCTCAGGTCAGTTTACTAGCTTAACTTCATTTTCAGATAGGTAGATGGCAACTGTTAGTTCTATAAAGCCATATGTATAAGTTTCAAATGATTCTGTATAGAACCAATTTAAGAACACCTTTTTTAACAATGGTCCCGGTGAATTATTCCAATACACATACACAGCCTAGGTTATAAACATTCTGTTGACATATTGTGTCAATTTTTCTCAAGATTTACTTCAGCAAAGTCGTTCCCCATCCCTCGATTAGTATTCTTATTCTCTTTTTCCATCAGTGCATGAACAAAAGTAAATTTTCAACGTGAAATTCTTCCTCCAGCTGCAGCTGTTCAACGTGTACCCAATTCATCAAGCACTATCACAGTGCCAGAGGGAAAATGAATATATTTTTCGAATAGATTTTGCACAAATGTTACCCATAGTTATTTTATGTACTCAACTTACTCTGTTTTATTCTTCTGATTAGTGTTAGTTAGTCGAATTCGTGACTACACACAAAGTCTGTTGTCTTCATCACCTCCAGATATAGTATTTAATAAGTTTATCTTATGGGAATAAGTATTTTTCATAACCAACTAACTAACTTTTTTAGTTATTCCTGTCACACTTAATAATGTGTTAAATATTTTTGTTCATTGCAGAAGAAAATAAGATATCTGATTATTTGTCCGGAAAATATTGTACCGAGACCGAGTTGTCGTCGAAAAGTCGAAGCTTGCTTTGAGTAAGGATATAATTTAGATATTTTTGCTTAATTCAAACTGTCGTTTTTAAAATTTATTCACTGTTTTTAATTCTGTAAATACTTATTAATAATAAAATAACTAAAGGGTTTTCTTCAAAAAGTTCAGTATTAATGTGACTATTGGACTGACAAATCACAAATTAAAATATATATGCAAAATAAGTAATTATAATGTTAAGCTAATTGAGACAGTATTTTGGTCAGTAGAAAACCAGGAAGTTTTTTTTTTCTTTTGAAATTCGAATACGCTTGTCTTCAGTAGTGCTACCATGTTGTAAAAAATAGTTAGGGTCTGAGAGTATGTCAATCAGTAATGCTTATGATGCATAGTCAATTTACGCGGCTAAGAGACGAGCGAATACATGTAGTGGTGTCAACAATCCATAATTTGCATTCATGGATGATTGGTAATGTGTTGTCCATATGATGGTGGCACTGTGACCTTAGTCAATTAATCAGGCTTTTTCAAAAACACAAAATAATCGAGCAAAGAATATTCTTTTCGATAAATTCCTCTTCCGGCTCCACAATTATATATACATGTTTATATACATAGAATATTCTAGAATAATAGTCAATAACAATATTAGTGGTTTTTTAAATAATATCGATTTGTAAAGTATTATCAATGCAATTACAGTTCACTAAAAATACTTAAATAATAATAATAATAAACATATAATAGCGAATAGAAAAGCAACTGAAATTAGGAAAATTCCACGAAAATTCATGATCATTCAAACCTAGATGGCCAAGGTAATGATAATTTCTAAACTAACTTCTTTTAGATGCATAAATTAGGCTTGTTAATATGGATCCCCACAGCCTCAGCAATATTTAGTAATCGAACTCTTAAAGCAAAATTGACATTCGTAGGTATGCGGTAAGTGACCCTGAAAGCATGGTTAACGTCAATCTTGTGTTCTGTATCCATAAGATGAGACAGAATAGTGCTGCGAATAGATTTTGTTTGTCCTTTGCCTAACCACACAGGGTGATGTTCGGAAATTCGACGAGAAATACGCCTAATTGTACGGCTTATGTAACTGGCTCCACAGGAGTAGTTAAAGTGGTAGATACACATGGAAGAGGCGAAATTAGGCAGTTTGTCTTTTACTCCCGAACGCAAACGAGGAGTGGTTTTAAAGATACAACGTAATTCAGCAGCAGGGAATGCTCGTTTTACCGCATTTCTAAGGCGCTGTGTTAGTATCTCGCTGGTGTTGCATCCAAGGGACTGCATCTGCAAGAATAACGCTTTTTTTGGAACTGTTGGTAACTTGGGATGCCTTGGTTTCAGATTCAGATTCTTATCAATGAACTCTTCAGGATAACCATTTTCACTTAGCAACCGTTTAATATTATTAAGTTCCTCGTCAAGACATTCGTCCGAGCAAATCGCTCTTGCTTTATGAACCAAGCGCTTTATCAGATTGCGTTTTTGTATTTCAAGGGCACAAAACTGAGAAAATGTGTGTACTGACCGTTGATGTAGGTTTTCTATATACACTTCTTCTTATGGTGTCATCATCTTTTCTGGTCATAAGGAGGTCTAAAAATTAAATACTAGAGTCATTTTCTTTCTCAATATTAAAATTTATTGCAGGATGTACCTTATTAAATTTATCCAGGATGCTCTTTGCTTCCTTCTCATTTTTCATCATCAAAAAAGTATCACTTATTAGATATCAGATCTGCCTATAGTATATACATGTGCCTCTACTTGGTGACACGCCACTTGGTAATATTATTATAGCGTAATACTAATTACAGGCATTAAAAATCAGTCTTTTGAATTATCATTTTTATTTACAATCGGGTATACCATGGTTTATTCATCACAAACTGAGTCCTCAATTAATATAGAAACAGTGAAATATCTAACTTAAATTGATTGGTTGAGTTAAATATGAGTTTGCTTTCAGTGACAAGTAAAGCATATTAATGAAATCTATCAAAGAAATCAGGATAATCATCAAGAGTCATTTTTAATAAAGACTTAGTTACTTTACTTTACTTCGGCTATCTCCTACGGAAGGATGAGCCGGCTTCATGCACTCATGAAGTTTCATGGGAATTGGGTACGAGTGATGTCCCCAGCATCGCTCGGCCTTTTGTTTGAGAGTGCAGCTCTAGCCTTTACACAACCAAGTGTGGACCTACAAGGCAGTAGGAGTGGAGTAGGGAGTCTACTATCCATTGGCAGCCGGTGACCGGAGTCCGGTTCATACGCCTTTTTGAATGGGGTCAGACATCCAGGGAATCCAACAAGCCCTTCGTCCATACGTCTGCCGGTGAGCTTCATACGCCAGTCGTTGGAGGTTTGAAATCAGGGTTTAGCCATCTCCCCTAGACTGTCATCCAATGGACAGTCAACCCGGTGAAGAGCGCCGGGCATCCGTTTTTGCCCTCTCACTTCGGTGAAAAACACCTCCGCCACGTGAAGGCAGTGAGTAGGACTTCCTCAGGAGAGGCCATGTAAGACGCCCTGTCATATGGTAGTATTTCAAGAGGTGTGCGGAGGGGTGGCCAGCCCGCAGCGCAAAGCATCCACCCCCGACCATCCTGAGGCTTTGGAGGCATTATCAATAAAGAACCTCTCATTGATGCTGTTGAAAATGTCATTCTACTCTTTTTCACATTAGTTTATAGTATTATGGTAGAAGTTTCCCAATCTTTGTTTTTGATCAAAAGATTTAGTTGTATGTAAGCCATTCGGATTATGTTTCTTGATAGGGATCTACACTCTCTCTTCTACAAAACAGTTTTTCGTCCCATCTGTTTCTGCTTACTATAAAGAAAAATTGTATGATAGCTAAGTGTCCCTTTCCTGTATAAGCTTGACTGATATAATAATATCTAAAGTTCTATGCTCAGTAACGCCGATGCGGAGACTAAGCGGTACGAGGAAACCAGGTGGGCCTTAGACCAGGAAGAGAGGGAGTGTGAATTGATGGTACCTTCACTCTTCAACAAGTTCTGGAACATAGACATACTTGCCGGTGTCCAGCACTGCCATGTTTTGATTGAGCACTAGTAACCAGTGTGATGTATCTAGTCCTTTCTTTGGTGCAGACTGAATTCTACCAGTCACTTCTGCAATGTGGCCACCATTCTAGGTAGCTCACCATCACGGTGACCTCCTACAGGTCAATCGCAAGCCTGAATAGCTCAGTGGTAACGTCTATGACTGCAGCACTATTTTAATAAATTCACAGTGTTATACAGTAATATTATTTACTGATGACCACGTTTCCAGCACAATTTATTACTGCTCATAATCAAATCAAGGCAATACTCACACAAGCTTCTTGCTTCGTTTATATACATGAGTAAAAATTGATGATGATGATGATGATTAGACATTTGAATAAAATCAGCAAAAGTTCAATAGACATGCGTTAAACAGCAAGGAAGATAAAGTACATTTGGAAATACTATTAGTGTTATCAATCAAATACAATCAGATGGGAAATAAGATGTTTTAATAGTCAAAATAAGTCACTTGTTAGAATGTTATAATTTTTGTGAATTGAAATACAATTTTAAGATTATTTATTATCCTCCTCTTATGTGACTGGTAATAATATCTTCCATGTATGTCTCTGGTATTTGCGTTGAGTTATTTTTGTTGCATGTAGACTCGATAAAGTAGGCTTCAGTAATCAACCATCTCTGTCTTCACCTACTTATATTACTTTTCAGAACTCCATTATAGAGAAGGTTTTATTTTGATAAGTCACACAGTGTTGTACAGTAATATTAACTGATGACGTTTCGAGCACAAACTATTACTCATAATCATATCAAGTTGATATATCAATGGAGTTATGCTGTACCACAGTGCCCAAGTTTTATACACAATTATTTCACCACATAACTCTAATTAAGGTTATTGAAGGTGATGAAAGCACTTTGGGGGATTAATCCCATGCAGCCTACACTGTGTGTACAATCAAAACAATAGACTTCAATCTTCGCCTACCATGGACTACATGACCTATTCAAATATGATTGCTCATTAGTATGTACTTTTGCTTTTTATTTAACTGAGTAATTGTCATGAACTTTATTTTATTATTGTTAACCATGTTAGTTGTAAAGCGGTTGTAAAGAAACTACGAAATGATATCATCTCGCGAAATTTGTCTTCTTAATGCCTTATTCAAATTTATCAAAGGGGCTAATTGTTTTAATTTATACTTGTATCGATAATACATATGGTCTCGCTACTAGGAAGCTTATCAATAAACTCACTTGATATGATTATGAGCAATAGTTTGTGCTCGAAACGTCATCAGTTAATATTACTGTACAACACTGTGTGATTTATTGAAAATAAAATCTTATCCATAATGGAGTTATACTCTACCACAGTGCCCAAGTTTTATATCAATATTACTTTTTGGAATTTCGACTGCGTCCCACCTTACCGTGTGGTTATGTGTTAATGCACGCAGTGCGATTGCTGAGTTTTTTCTAAATTACTGTAAGTCTTATTTTCCTTGGGTCAATTATTCTAACCTTAAGTGAATTCTTATGTCATGACAATCTCACTACTCCTGATCTACTAATTTGACCTCACAGTCATTGCAAGGTGTTTTGTAAATTGTTTTGTTTAATTGAGTCTATCGAGTCATGTAGCTTGTTTCTGAGTTAGCTTGTGCTTTATCTTCCATAGTAGACTGACTAACAACACTCTTCTTAATTCTTATTGTGTTATATTTATTCATAAGATTAATATGATTTCCGAATGTACTTTATCTTCCTTGCTGTTTAACGCATGTCTATTGAACTTTTGCTGATTTTATTCAAATGTCTAATCATCATCATCATCAATTTTTACTCATGTATATAAACGAAGCAAGAAGCTTGTGTGAGTATTGCCTTGATATGATTATGAGCAGTAATAAATTGTGCTGGAAACGTGGTCATCAGTTAATAATATCACTGTATAACACTGAGACTTTATCAAAATAAATTTTCAAGTATTGGTTTTTGTAGGGATTTAGTTTGATTGGTTGGTGGATTTCATCATGAGCTGACATCATTTAGATTACTCCCAGGTTTTCTAATACTTCTCTAACTGATGTCAGCTCATGATAAAATCTTCCAACCAATCAAAATAAATTTTATCCATAATAGAATCTACCATGTTTCTTGACTTGAAGGCGACATTTAACTTCGTCGACCTAGAGGTGCTACTTTTATGTATGATCGTTAAGTGAGTGCCAGGAAAGTATATTGTGACAACTGAGGAGACAGTCCACTTGAACTCATGAAACCGTACAAGAGCTTATGGAGAGTTATCATATGAAATGATGACAAGCAATGATATCCACCAGGGATTCAGAATATCTTCATTTTGGTTAAATTTCACCATACATATATTGATGAGTGTAACGGTAATCGACTTTAACGGTGCAAGGGTTGACGTGTTACGAGGATACAGTCTTGTTGACTTTGTGTGTGCAGATGACATTCTCCTCTTAGATGAAGTCGATGATAAAATTCGGAGTCTTCTGAACACCGTAAGCAACAATCGTCAAATGGTTGGCACCGACTTTTAGTTGTTTAAAGATGGGGTGTAAAGTGGTAGAACGTGTCGACCATTTCACTTATTTGCTTCCTGACAAAATCTCGTCACGGATACAAAGGTTTGTATGGCGTAAAATGTGATATCCAAATACTGATTAAAGGAAATTCGTACTCTTCAGCAGTTCACTGTGTTGTTCTTTATGTCTAAGACTTGGCGATTGAAAGTGAAAGATGCTGAGAGCTTGACTGCGTTTCATCACAGATATTTGCGTTCTATTTCCCGTGTTCATTTGAGAAGACTAGGACATGTATTACGTATGCAAAACCATCTCCTTCCTCAATGGTCGATGTTAGAAGATATTAGATTAGGCAAGAAAAAAGGGTTAAGGGTGGTCAAATCACGACATGACACTAGTCCATGAAGTCGTTGACACTTCGTTTTAGGCATATAGGAATTTGTAGGCTGTCTGGTCGGTGTCCTCGAGGTGATAAGAACAAATAGCTGGAAACTATTGATAATCTGACTCGTAATCGTTGCTAATGGCGCAGAAGTATTCACACTTTGGGATGTACTATACTGTCATGTTCTCCTATGTCAACATTTTTCCTGTTGCATATTTCTGCTTATTATAGTTCTTTTAGAATTATTTTTTTCTTTTTTGCTTACCTTAATGTGCAACTGGAACTACTGTACTTGTGTGCGTGTGTGTCTACTGTTAGTCAGTATTGTATACGAAATTAATCTAATCTTAGGTCATTTTGTTGTCCATAGAGCAGTGGAATAGTTTATCTATATAATCTTTTTTTGTTTTGCTTTGTGCGTTTTCCTAACTCGTAACACCACTTTATCTTTGTTAATGTCATGCTGTCAGCTTCTCTGTCTATCTCCCATTCACATGGTTCCACAATTTCTTTTGTAGGCGTTATTGTGAGGTTATACAACGTTATGAAACCGATTTCTCCAGAGACGCTGAATTCATTATGCAGATATCATTGGAACCAAATTATTTGAAAAATGAGCTCAAAAGGGAATTACGGTTTCAAGAGGAGGAGAATTCGAATTTGTCTACACATTTCACTGAACTTAAGGGGAAACTTGATGCTCTGAATAAGTTAGAGGTAAAGGCATCTGGTGACTGAGTGAAATCTTCAAAAACTGTTCTTCAGTGCAAAAATGCACCTTTCAGAATGTAAAACTTCATAGGGGAATATTTATTGGTACTTCTTTCTCATAAAAACTAAGGAAATTATTCCCACCCTACAGACTATGTGATAATGTGTGTTACTGGCCCGATCACCAGCAATGCTTTTCTTTCTTTAGAAATTATTATTATTGTCATTATTCGAATGGTAAACTTACTTGATAATAATTACAACAGTATTCTTCTGAATATTCTCTATGCCACTCCCTTTATTTGTTTATTGTATATTTTGTGACACAATAGAAACTTTTTGCTCTATTCATATAGATTTGTATTCTGTGTGATGAAATGCTTGTCAATTTCAAAGTTAGAATAAAGTCATGATGTAGTGAATTCGAAGGTGAATACTGCAGATGCAGCGCTGATGTCGTTCAGCTCCCAGGCAAAACAACATGGTGAAATAAGGAACTATGTAACCTAGTCATATATAAGTTGCTGGCAAATAGAAGTCAACCAGAGAGTATGTTAAAATTAGGTACTTTAGCAGTTGCAACTAATTCATTATTTGAAATTCATCCTTATTGACTCTGTTCACATTAAGGATTTATGTCCTACTGACTTACATAAAAGTAGTGATGTGCGCGTCAAGGTGAAAAAGGAATTGAGAGAATTTGAGTACTCGGTAATAAATCTTTCATGGAGTCACGTACTAACGTGAAGTCGTTGGTTCAATCTATGGATTGATCAATGGTTCAGTTGACGAAACCACCAGCTGGAAATGTGGGTGAGTGGCTTCATACGAAGCTGAATCGATCATCGTCTCTTGTTTCAACCTTATATAAACGGATACAAAGATAGGCCGCGTGATCTAAATTGAGGTTGGGAAAGATGAAATAAGACAGGTCAACACGTCTTTTGCCATTTGATTGTCGACAGAGATTCTTATGTTGTAATTGTAGAATGTTTAGCTGTTATTTTTAATTCCAACTCAAATTAGAAGCTCAAAGGACATATAAGTTTTTCAGGTCATTCGAGTGGCGTATGTATGAATGCTTACTGTTTGTAACTGAGAGAAGTCGTAAGCAGTAATCAACTGTTGACAGTGAATCAAATAATTTGTCAGAATTATTGGTGGTACGAGCACATAGGCGTAAAACGTGACTGTCTAGCATTTGGTTTGCGTGAGGGATCAAATTTTAAAACTAGAACTGGGACGAAAAAGCTACCGACTATTGATTGATTTTGCAATGGTTGTTTTTTCGCTCAATGGCATCAGCTACTCAGAGATAAATGAGCGCCTATATTTAAAAATATCTAATCGTACCATGAGATAACTACTGGCCATCAGAGAATACAAAGTGTTGTAGACAGTGTGGCGATATGAAAGTATACATTTATATAGGAATTGCGTGAAATAAAGTTAAGTAATAGGAAGTATGACTCATAAACTCTACTCAGAAAGTTAGTAATATTTCATTTCTTCATGTATGATACTAGTAGTGCTAATAAACCGCTACTTATCTAAACATTTCAGGTTGAGTTTATAAGCACCTTTCTGAGATTTGTGTCTTCACACAACAACTGTGCTAATTCAAATAAACCCTTGTCAAGATTTGACAGAATAGTTCTAAAATATTTGGGCGCCGAGTGGGAAGTAGACATTTGTAAAAAATTATATTTGTAAAATCTCGACTGTCTATATCTACTTATGGAGACTAAGAAATTGTTTTACAACTGTTTACCCGCACACACACACTGTGTTTAAAGTATTTAACAACGGTAGACCAATCATCACTCACTGAGAAATGCAGGTACCTCCAGATGACGAGTCCCAAATAGGACGAAATGCGCATCCTGGATTCCACTGCTAGTCACCATCCACCAGTTAAACGGTAAGTCCGGGGTCAAATTTTGATCATAGCTCATACAACTTTTTGTTTATCATACTTGTTTTATGACTCATGATTGGACAAAGCTCTTAAAAACGAGAGATATTCCTTTTATATATAAACCTCTGTTATGTTAATTTCGATTAATTCCCCTGAAGAAGTTCGGACCAGATTGCTGAACGAAACGTTGGAATTACTCATTTCAATATCGCTGAGATTTTACAAATATAATTTTTTTTACAAACTGTGCTAATTATAATAATTATTAGCCGTTTGAGCATAAATTCTTGTGAAATTTCTGCTTCTACCAAAAGACACGCGAAAAAGAAACAATGTTCAGCAGAATAAAGAGGATGTTGGGTATCCGACAGGGTGACTTTAGGCATCTGCTTGCAAGAATTAAAATGTCTATCAACAACAATTATGTGCGTCGGTGGCATAGCGGTGAGGACGCTCGCCGACCATGCGCATGGTCCGGGGTTCGACCCCCGGCCGACGCACTCCTTTACCTCGCTAGGCCAGAAATAATGCTGGTAAAGAGAAAAGGTTGGGCATGAGGTTAGCAACCCCATCCTGTAAAACCAAACACCGCTACAGAAACTTCGGGCAACTAGGTTGAAGCCCTATGTTCCACTGGGAACGTGAAGGAAAAATTATTATTACATTATTTATCAACAACAATTAGTCAGTTTGTTGGGTCAAAGGCAGATCACTAACGTTGATGAGAGACTTCTAAGTTCTACGCAATATAACACAGTCCTTTTCGAGAAGCACAGTCAAGAACAAGGCGGTGGGGGGATTATAAATAAGAATGGGTAAAATACACGATATATTCAAATGTAATTGAAGAGGTTGAGTTATATCAGAAAATCTCAACTTCCCTATGCAATAAGTGGAATAGAAGATTTTCTTAGGCATCAACAAGATGATATATGAGGCGGCTAACGAAAGTTGGAACAGAAAATGATAACAAGATAGGTATTATTCGATTTTATTCGCCACAACAGTGACGCCGATATTACAACAAACTTGGAAAAGAACCTAAAATTAACAGTCTCACAGTTAGAAGGGTTTCGATCAGGGGCGAATCAGTAAGGCTGAATAAGAAAAAATTTCTATCTCAACAACCTGCCCACCGAAAAAAACTGGTACAGAAATTGTCAAATTATTCAACAACCCTAATAAATATGGATTAAAAAACAAGTCGAGGTTGAACACACAGAAAAAATCGAAACATGAGTAGCTTAATTAAATATCAGTGAAAGTAGGATCAGACAACACAGAAAGAGAAGTCGTCATGGAGCAAGAGGGAGGCTGACAGTGAAATGATGAATGACAACGGGGAACCATTCGCACACTTATGCGTCTCTAGTGATTTCATGATTGAAGCCAGCGTAGAGGATTAATGTTTTTACACAGGTTATGATTGATATGTTTGAATTTCAGTGGAATATGATGGAAGCATTGGCATCAACAACAAAATTCAGATTTTCAATACAAACGTCAAACCAGTTCTATACGGATCAGAAACTTGGCGGGTGGGTCACAAAGAATATTTCCGACAGCCTGTTGCAGACCTTCATCAACAACTGTCTTCGCTCTAAACTGAAGATCAGATGGCCGGCCGGAAAGAATCACCAACAAGAAACTATGGGAACAAACAAAACAAGAACCAATAGCCCAACAAATATGCAGAAGAAATTGGAGATGGATTGGACACTCTCTAAGGAGACCGCTGAGTGAAATCGCGCGTCAGGCCGTTGCTCGAATGGAACCCGAAAGGGAAGCGGCGAGTGGGACGTCGAAGGGTAACATGGAGGAGATTGTGTGAGGAGTTGAAACAGTATGGACTAACATGGATGCAGGTAAAAAGTACAACAGAAGCAAGACTTGCATTTGAAGCCCTATGTTGCACTAGGAACCCAAAGGAATAATAATAATAATTGGCTTATCTCCGGGTGATATATGCGTGGGGGAATTTATGTGTTATGTAAAATAGTCGACGTAGTGGAATATGAAATGGCAGACTAGAAGGAGACATGGTGTGGATTATGTGTTCGATGACGAACGCAGTGGATGAACAATCAAATAAAATTTTCTAATGCATACCTGTCTTCTTCGCTGTTGCGCAAATCTGTTGTCATATTTTCTTTGCACCATGCCTTTTTCCAGACTACCTGTAGTGTGACTAATCTGGTCAGAATTTCGGGTTCCGACGTCTGAGTCACCGTCTCGAATCATGGCTTGAGCAACCCAGGCTATATAACTATCCTTACCGCAATAGGTGTGAAAGCATTGTCAATTGACTAGAAATGCAAGTGTCTGTTGAGTAGATGATGGAGGATCTCCAGTTCAAAAAGACAATCTACGAAATAAAAGATGATAATAATGTGCAGCTTAACTTGTAGTTCGTTATGATATAACCAATAAGGAAACGTCGCACTTTTCACATGAGCTGAAGTGCTGTCCATTACTTTTGCGGTGCTCTTAAGCTGATGTAAATTCCTAGTGGTTAGGAATTGTATGAAAAACCCGTCAAATTTCCGCCTTAATCTTGAATCGCACATCTTTTACATCGCTTCAAGTGAAGAACTGAAGGCACATTTCACAGTTAATGTTATTGCTGTCCAACCTATATTTGTTATTGACGATAGTACTTTAGTACTTCATTACACTACAAATAGGTTTAACAAAATTGAGTACAAATGAAGTAAAAACAATGCAGAAATTATTGCCTTTCTGTAAATCAAATTTTATTAAACACTCTAAAAAATTACAAACAAAAATCCAATGCAGTGTATGCATATATTTACATCATTTTTCTTTTGAACTAAGAAATGTACTTCATGTATGAAAAACAGCAGCCAACAAAAAATGATTCAGTTGAACTTTTTATGGTCTTATTTTAAGATATAATTCCAGTGATGGGTCAGTTATATGCCATCGTGATGACTCCAAGAAATTGAAAACTTCGTCTAAATCATCTACATGTCGAGGACGATCACAAGCGGACGACAACACTTCAGGCTCTAGTGGAAGAAAACAGAAATCAGATAAAATTGAAAAAAACAAAACAGATAGCGAAACAGCAAAGACAAAAAGGTGGAACGCTGGTCAGTGACACCAAAAGGTATGACGTTAGATTCTGATCAAAAGCAATACCAAACCTAGTTTAGCCAGTTGTAAGCATGGAAAAGAGGGAAGGTAGGGCTAGGTCTAGAGACTCTACCCCGTAAAAACCGACACCACAGCTAATCAAATTTCACAACAGCATTCCATCTGTTCTGACAGATGCCTGCCTACCAGTTCTGTGGCATATCTCATTTTTTGTGAATAGCCTCCAAGGTATGACATGATTTTCTCAGGCAGAAAATGAGTCAAACTACATGATACTAATCTGAAGTTGCATATGCCTTTTGGTCAAACGGTGCTGTCGGTACTAAGAAGGATAGTTAAGCACTCAAGAAGCTTCTGATAGTCTTTGAATACACAATTACTGACTGTAGGTTGGACGATGAAAAAAAGGAGTATCACCAAAAAATCCCTACTTATTACGGAAAGTCAGACGCGAAATGTGGTAATCGTGAAAAGAGATTTTAATACACACGTGTCAAGTTTATATATTTAGGGAAAAATAGCTTTCTGGTATTGTAAACATTCTGAAATTGCTTTTTGCTGATTCAGAAAAGGAGGTAGTTATATATCAGGTCCTATATTGCCTGATGAATATCTGAAGATTATGCTGACAAAGTATGAGCTGTTAGTCGAAATAAATTTTATCCAAACAACTGAATTGACTGCTGTATAACAAATGGATTGAAATTTAGATAAAACATGCTTAGCTACTTATATCTGCTTGAATCCAGTTTATCAACCAAACAATATTCATTTATGATGAAATATAATTTCTTGCTGTTTACTTGTCTTGTCTTATCTGAATGAGGAGAAATATATAAAAACAAAAAAAGAATGTTCTTAGAAGTGCTACTCCACCTAACAGTTTATCACGTACCCGGAGCATATTCTTGAGAACCAGTGCCCTGCTGAATAGCTCTAGCATACAATTGTGAAGCAGCAGCATCAACAAATGCGTGTTGTTGTACTGTAGCATCACCTATAAATGCACCACCGCCGGCTATTGATGTTATGCCTAAGTTTGCAGCGTCACCTTCAGTGGATGAGTCGCCAGAATAAAACTGAGCTGCATATTGAGACGCATAATACTGTTGGTAGTATTGTTGATAGGCTTGATAATATTCTGCTTGAGCAGCTGAATTTCCAGTCACAGCAGCAGCAACTGCAGCAGTGAACGGATCAGCCATGCCTGGAAAGTGGAAAAAAGCCTAACACACTGTACAATATGCGAACTACATGCATTTACAGAAAAACACAAATGTAGGTAAAAACAGTATCAAAAAATGACCTCCCATTACTTTATAGTGGGCTAAGTTACAATAATTCATACCCACACATCAAGTCGAAGGGTACTAAAGAAGAAATTCAGTCCAGGGTCAAACACCGGTATAACACTTCTCTGACTGACTGGTTTCAACATAGAACTTTGCACAGATGCCAGGCTCCCATCACGTTGCACACAAAGCGAGACAAGAGAGTAAGAGACATTCGAAACAGAGATAATAAACAGAAATATCAGGCATAAAGAATAGTAATATGGGAGAACAATAGGCTTTTATTAGATTTGAAATCACAAAGAGCGAATGCATCTGCGCCATCATTGACAACGACGATATGGAGCCATATCACCAATTGTCTCCAGTCACTGGTTTTTACCATACGGAGGACTCCCACCAGTCAAAAAATCTACACCTCCCTACGTGGCTGTTTCAAGCTAACGGCTGTAGATTTCATTGACTGGAGCCATGTTTTGGTTCGACCGCCGCCAGCTTTTTTCCAGCCTGACCCTATATCATCTAACATTGCCCGTCAGTCGAGGAAGGCGATGACTAGGCATACGTAACACATGTCCTAACCATCTCAGTCTATGTAACTTCACAACCTCGTTGAAAGATTTCCTCCTCCTTACCTAGAACCCGACGCCTAACCCCAATATTGCTCACCTTATTATACCAATTCACATGGGAAATAGAATACAGGCACCTATGACCAAAGACAGCTAATCTTTTCATGTCTTCCACTCTCAATGGCTAGGTCTCACAGCCACAAAGGAGGACGGAGTGGACTGATGAGCAGTACACCCACCCTTTGGTCGATAGTCGGATATCTCGTCTACGCCAGAGACAGCGTAAACTGGCATATGCGAAACTAGCCCTCTATATCCGTAGCTGAGATTTCGTCAGAGATCAACCCGTTGGCACTGGCTGATGGTACTCCCCAAACAAGTGAAGCGGTCAGCGTGGTCTACCACTTCACTTCCTATTTTTAGACTAGGCGTCGATGTAGCCCAGTCCTGTAACATCATCTTGCATTTGGCTGGAGCGAATCGCATGCCAAACAACTGTAGATTGCAGCTCAAGGTGTTCAGAAGACTCTGCATTTCGTCAGCGTCCTCGCCTAGAAGGACTATATCGTCTGCATATTCTAACTCAACGTGATTATTCCCTGGTAGGAACTCAATCCCTGAGTCGCTGAAGTGAGTCCATTAGTACATCTATGATGAAGTTGAATAGAAATGGGGATAATGGGCATCCTTGATGGACACCACTAGTCGTCACCAGTTCAGATGACAGCTCGCCGTAAGCCCTCACCTGGCTGTATGAGTACGAGTAGATTGCCTTAATCAGTGCAATATATTTTCTCGGAATTCCCTTTACAGCCAAGCATCTCCAGAGAACTTCTCGGTCGACAGAGTCGAATGCCGCCTTTAGGTCAAGAAATATAATGACTGTTGGACGCCGGTAGGAATGCCTATGTTCTAGAATCTGTCGGAGGGTGAAGATATGATCAATACACCCTCTTCCTGGTCTAAAGCCTGCCTGGCTCTCTCGTGTTTGTGCCTCCCGAGCACCACTTAGTCTACGCATGATTATTGAGCCTAGGACTTTAGATACTATATTAGTCAAGCTAATCCCTCTGTGATTATCACAGGAAGACTTGTCTCCCTTCTTGTATATCGGAATAATCAGTGACTTACACCAACCCGATGGGACTTCTTCTGATTCCCAGACGCTGCTTAGAACCTCATCATCACACATCACCTTAATACCTCTCGGTCGATGGAATCGAATGCCACTTTCAGGTCAAGAAATATGACGATTGTTGGACGCCGATAAGTATGCTTATGTTCCAGAATCTGGCGAAGAGTGAAGATATGATCAAGATACCCTCTTCCTGGTCTAAAGCCTGTCCGATTCTTTCGTCTCAGTTATTCCCGAGCACTGCCCAGTCTGTGGATTATTATTGAGTCTAAAACTCTGGATACCATATTAGTCAAGCTTATCTCCCTGTGATTATCACAGGAACAATTGTCTTCCTTCTTGTATATCGGGATAATCAATGACTTACATCATCCCGACAAGACTATCTCTGTTTCCCAGGCCCTGTCTATTACCTTACTAACTCAGACAGTAAACTGTTTCCACCGTCCTTAAACACCACCTCTGCAGTCATTTCATCTGGTCCGATTGCTTTGCCTCGTTTCAGATTAGTGACAGCCTCAGTGACTTCAGTTAGGGACGGAGGAACTCTATCTATATTACATTCAGGAAGGTATTGGATGTTAGGTAAGCTGAGCGTGGGTGTAGATCAACTAAATTACTCCTCAAAGTCTCCTTTCCAACACCGCTCGACCAAGGTAGTAAAACGCTGTCTAACCATCTGTTATCAAAGAACTGATGGAGAGCGATTATTTGGTCTAGATACTTGCAGTTAGGTTTGCGAATATTTTTTGCTATCTGTTTGAGATTAGACATAGGATGAATATGGATACTGGTATTTTATAGACTATGGTAACTAGGCTTATCCCCCCCCCCCAAGGACATAATATGGAAACTCCCGACGGTGATATGAAAGAGATTATGTGAAGAGGAAATGTAAGGTTATGGACAATCATGAAGCCGACTAATAATATGTGCAGAGAACAGTAAGAAATGCTGCAGAAGCCGGATATTTTACTCGGAACCCACATGAATAATAATTAAATAATAAATTATGCTTGCATTTTTTTTTGTGCTCAGGGAATGGATTTCGGTACATCCGTTAGTCTTTTCAAACCATTTTTTAAGGAATTTTCTAAGGAATACTGCTTAAATAACAGGAAAAAAACAGACGTTTTCAGAACGAGTAATGCTGAGACAGCCGTTCTTTAAATACTATTTTAATATCTTCAGAGCATATAAAGTTCTTCCATGTGTCCTTTACTTGCATGCACAGACCACGGCACTAGTCACTATTTAAGCAAGAGCTTTGTAAGCAGCAGCAGTCATCTACTATATCCCAACCGATAGCTGCTACCTTGACGTGGTGGTCGGGTTTGCGCATCGCAATGACCCAACAAGCTACACTGGCTGGAACCAATGTTCCTGCAGGTCCTACCATGCCATGAAGGTTGTCAGGATAGCGATTAGACTAAAAGCAGTTACTGGCATCCTGTAAGAATCTTTCTTATAGTATGCTGGGGGTCTGAGGGCGAAGTCGTACTGCTGGGGAACAGGGGTGTAACAGCAGTGAGGTGTTTCCCTCAGATGACCAGCGTCCCAGCTATGCTGTCTCTCCACGCTGGAAGCAGTGGGTTAGAAAAGGTCAACCCTAAAAATTGTACATCCCGACTTACCCTACGGTGGTCCGTAACCGGCGGTAAGTTTACTAATACGGAACCAATCCCGGAAGACAGTTCATACAGGCCGTGTATGACCGGACTCAAGCAGCTGTCCCTTGGGCTCTGCGGCCATGCAACACCAACCCTCTTTCTGCTTCAGGTACCCGAAGAATCAATTAACTTCCAGGGTGTGGGCAGCCGGGAAGTAACAACCGCCCACACACGAAACCTTCCTGAGACAGGAAGTTAACATATGGTGATACAGTCTATTGTTCAATTAAGTTTGTAGCAGACTATGCCTGTCTGAAATTAGTACTGTCTAGGAACACATAGTTATCCGAACATATTTGTAATAAAAGACCAGTATTATGGATTCTTCGAGTTAGGACTGTGTAGGTATTACCTGAAAGCTTTTCCAACTGACTTATCCTTAATAGTCATGCATCGAAATTCCCCTATTCAATTTTTATTTTTATTGAATTAAGAACCCTAGCAAAAAAGATTCGAAAGATAAGTTTCAACTGTAAATTTCTCATTTTTGTGACCGACTAACAGATTTAACAACACAGTAGTTCACACAAAACTGAATCAATTCACACTATGAAAAATCACAAACAAAGAGAAACTGTAGTGGAATCTAGATTCTCACCTTAGCTAAATTCTTATGTTCTGACAATCTGACTAACCCTGACCTACTAGTTTGACCTATGCAGTTGACCTCACAGTCATTGCATGGTATTTTGTAAATGATATTATACCATTATTATTATTATACCATGCAATGACTGTGAGGTCAACTACATAGGTCAAACTAGTAGGTCAGGGTTAGTCAGATTGTCAGAACATAAGAATTTAGCTAAGGTAAGAATGGTTGACCCTGAAAAGATAAGTAATTTAAAAAACAGCTCAGCAATCGCACTGCATGCATTAACACACAACCACACAATAGGGTGGGACAGGGTTAAAATTCTCAAAAGTAATCTAGATAGGTGAAGAGAGAGGTTGATTACTGAATCCTTGTTCATCGAGTCTACACCAAACACACGCAATAAGAATGAGTCATCACTCATACCTGAAATATGGAAAATACTACTGCCGATTAAATCAAGTGAAAAATAAAGGAAGTGGTGTGAGTACCTCGATATGATTATGAGCAATAAATTGTGCTCGAAACGTCATCAGTAAACATTACTGTATAACACTGTGAGACTTTATCAAAACAAAAATTTACCCATAATGGAAAGGGAAAGTTTGGTGGAATCTAGATTGGACTAATGTGAACGAAAGGATTACAATCCGATATATATATATATATATATATATATATATATATATATATCTGGATTCAACATAGAACTTGGCACCGAAGTGCAGCAGTTCGAGTTACCACGTTCCAAATAGCACACAAAGGTAGACAAGAAGATAAGTGAAGAGAATCAATAGAGTTTGACAAGTATAAGAGTGAAACAGAATGGGTAATGGTAGAAAGGAATATGAAAGATTACAGAGACTGAATACATCTGCGCCATTGACAACGATTTTGAGCCATGTCACCTATTGTCTCCAGCCATTGATTCCTAGAGTCCCGAGGGCCCCAACCCGGGAGTCTGCATCCCCCACCTGACTCAGTTTAACTGTCAAGGATTTCATGGATTGATGAGGCCATGTTTTTATTTGGCCACCACTGGCTCTTTTCCAACCTGCACCTATATCAGCCAGTAATGCTCGTCGGGGGAGGCGGTGGTTAGGCATGCGCAGCACGTGAACTAGCCATCTTAGTCTACGTAACTTTATAGCCTCGTCGATTGATTTTCCCTCTTTGCCCAACACTCTACGCCTAACGTCAACATTACTTACCTTATTAAACCACCTAACGTGAGACAGAGATCGCAGACATCTATGATCGAAAGCAGTCAACCTTATATATATATATATATATATATATATATATATATATATATATATATATATATATATACTTACCACTAGGAACTACTGAAGTTGATTCAGATACTGATGTGGTAACAACCAAACTTCCATCCATATTATAACGCTTTGGTATTGCCAAACTCACACGAATAGGTTTATATCCTAGACCACAATAATTTTGCATCTCAATCAGTGCTTTATCCATATCAGATTCTGTTAAGAATCGAACAAATCCATATCCACGGGATTTTCCATTTGTCATTACAACTGTTAATGTGAAAATTAAAAAAATATATTTATTATGAATAGACGTTTATACTGAGGTTACCTTTAGCTGATCGACAAGTAGCATATTTTTTAAAAGCATTAAACAATGCAAGATCATCGACATCTTCTGTTAACTCACCAACAAATAATGAACATTCACTGCTAAAATAATCAGGAGTTCGTTGATGATTAGAATTATAAAGCATACATAGAAGTACTGTCTTTTCCATAGCTTGCATGATTCAACTTGAATCTTCTGGTCTGGAAAATCAATTGTATTAAAAAAACAGGATTTAACAATGTTATAAAAAAATGGAATAAGCTAATTTATGTTAGACGAACTTATTTTTAGTATTTTAGGGGCTGAAATAATAGATATTTCAAAATATGAATAGTCCTTCAAATTCTTTTTATTTCTTCCCGTTCCCAGTGGAACATAGAGCTTCAAGCTATACGTTTGAAGTTTCGGTAGCAGTGGTGTTTATTTTTACGGGAGGGGGTTGCTAGCCTCATGCCCAACCTTCCCTTTTTACCAGTCTTATTACTGGCTTAGCGAGGAAAAGGGGTGAGTCCGCCGGGGATCAAACGCTGAACCACCTGAGTGGTTGGCGAGCATTCTACTGCTGTGCCACTATTTGAAAAGTATAAAAGAAAAAAGCGAACTCGAAAATGTACAAAAGCCGATGGAGTTCAATGAAACATATTACAAAGTCAAGTCAATTTGGAAGTAAACAAGTAGACTAAGCTAAGAAGAACTTACTGGAGCGCCAGGAATGAGTTTGCCGTTTAATTTAAGCATAGCATCTCTTGCAGCTGTAGAACTGGGAAACTCAATAAAACCATAACCAAGGGTTTGACAGGTCGCCTTATTTCTGATAACTTTTACACTGACTATATTTTCACCAGATGTTTCAAAAGCTTTTTTAATGAATACCTCATCCATGTAGGGTTCCAACTAAAGTAGATATCAGTGAAAAAAAATTATAAATGAAACATACATCACCCATCCATATTGTATGCGAGAAGTTCTGCATGTTATACACCTTTCTCTGCACCGAAAAGCTCTATTGTAAAGAGCTGAAGAAGGCTGGAAGTAGGAATCAACGCCAAATATTTCGAATCTATAAATAAGAATACAGAGATAGGTTTATAACTCAGTAATCAAACAACGATGCATCTACAGCATCTTTCATCAACCAATAGATAGAATTAAAAGACACTGTGAATAAAGTGCTAAATTCAAATGATGTGTCGTGAAACATAGATGTATTTTATAAAGGTTTTAGGACTTGGCGACTTCAGTTTTGGCTGGAACTTCTCATATTCGGTACGAATTGCTAGTCAGCGTTGTCTCGTAAGATCTGGTACTTGATTTTTAGTAAATGAGTCTTGGGTTGGAATCCCGCTGCATGCAATCCAGGCTGGAGGAATGGGTAATTTCATTAGCCTTTGAAATAATAGACCCATAGAAAAGTGTATGAAAACTTTGCTCGGGGTAACTGGGTTTTGACAACACTACTCAAGTGTAGTAAGAGTAACACAGAACAGCGGATAAAATATGAAAAAAAAGTTCGGAAAGACTGTATTCCTCAATATGAAGACATTTGTTCCCCTTAGTCACTGAGATTTGAACAAACAGTGATAGCAGGTTGTATGAGTAAAAATTGAATTTCGACACACAACGGCTCCCAAAGTTAAAATAGTTTAAACTTTAGAAAGTAAAGCATTCAGTGACATTCTGCTTATCATACTCGGTCCAGTTCTCACTCCTTGGGAGTTTAAATCCCTTTCAGTGACACTCACGTTTGGCTTTGATACTTCACTTTGTTTGCAGATAGTTTTGCACGCATGTGGGGGCCGCACTGCCACCTAGTATTTCGAATCTTAAAGGTGAAATGAGTCCAGAGATAGAGCTAATCAGTTGGATTTCAAGTCAAACGATAAAACTACTTGTTTAACCCGCTCAATAATTTCACCAGCATATCCAGGTATGTGAATGAAATGTCCTGAAAAAGAATGGTGGTACACACTTAGACTATGCATTCCTTTATCATTAGGGACATTTTTGTTTTCATACTAGAATTCATTTTCTCCTGACCGATAGCCGTTACCTTGACATGATGGTAGAGCTTGTACATCCCAGTGACCCAACGAGCTATGTTGACTGAAAAGTATGTCACGATAATGTCTCGCCATATCAGAAGGCTGGGAACATTTATTTGAAATATGCTTGCTACTATATGGACATCAAGAAAATCGGAACTCCCAGTCTGTCTGTCTGTTTTCGACATAGAACTTTGCACAAATGTGCGGCAGTTCAAGTCGCCACACTCCGTGTAGCACGCGAAGCAAGAGAAGAAAGTACAAGAAAAGCATAATAGAGACAGTGAGCAGAGGTGTGAGACAAAGGAGTAATAACGAAGAACAAAACAGTTTCATTGGAGATCATAAGTCACAAGGAGTGGATGCATCTGCGCCACTGAGAACGATTTTGAGCCATGTCACCAATTGTTTCCAACCATAGATTTTTACCGTCCCGAGGACCCCAGCCTGGAAGTCTACACCTTCCTACGTGGCTTAGACCAACTGTTGTGGATTTCATTGACTGGTGCCAAGTTTTTGTTTGACCGCCGCTAGCTCCCAGTAGAACAATTAGTTCATCAGTTCGACTGGCCTACAGCTGAACTAGTCGCTTACTGTACTACTGGAGTCTGGATGCGACGTTGATACTGACAGTAACGTCCCTCAGGCTAGTTGATATGAACTCAGAACTGGTAGTTCTTGCAACCTATTACTATCAATGCTTCAGTATACAAAATGCATCTGTGCCAACGACTTAAGACCTGAGCGTTAACCCTCAGTACGCGGTATGGTTCTCAAGTATCAGAACAAGGATGTGACTATCCAAACCCTTCACCCTTGGCAAACAGTGTTTAGATGTGAAACTGACAACTTGGCTGATGAATCAACCACCTCTTAGACTAATACTTGGCGTGCAGTAATATTAGCGCACAAGTTTTTGAATAGTGACTACGTTTTAAAAAGCCCAGAAGGAATTTAGTTGCACGTTTTGATTTACACCATGGAGGCCGTCATAAAGCCAGATAAGAAGGCTGTTAAAGAGGAGAACACGCTTATGGGATAAGTTTATGGAAAGTGCTAAAAATAAGTGCTACGAAATTGGGAAATTTTTCAAGAGCCTAATTTACATACGTCATTTAAAAATTCCAAGTAGGCTTGGTGTATGATTGCTTGGACTACCCTTAGAAACTATGCTACCAAAAGAACCAATGAAATATTTATCCATATTGGCAATGGAATGAAAAATCAGAGTTAAACACAAAACAGCCTCAAATCCATCACATCGCCTTGTAAAATACTTTTGATCGTTACAATAACAGTTTTTAATTGATATCACCGCTGAAGACGCTTAAACGGCCTACCTTGGTGGATAGTGAAATGGTGTTCAGCGTATTCACTGGTTTCAAACTTAGTAAGTCAAAGAACCCTGATGAATTACACCATAAGCGACTTCTTAAGTAGACATTATTCTTACACAGCATAGGTAGATATTTGATAGGTTTGTCCCAAGCTAGGTTGTTTTATGACTAACTCTCAGAAATGGCAAGAGGTCACTGGAGTCTATCGCCCAGTTGTTTTCGTGCATATAACCATCAAAATATTTGGAAAAATTGCAAGGGGTAAATTACTGCCGTGTGGGAAAAAATAGCTTTTCAGTAGGGCATCGAAAACTCAGAAAAGGAGGTTCACATCTAACTGATTCACATCTGGTCAGACTTATGGAGAGAGGCTGGGAGAGCGAAGTAGCCACCAGTTTAGCGACTATTGACTTCAGTAAAAGATTTGGTGGGGTCCCAAAAAGGGTGATAAGTAAAGTGAGCAGACTTCGGTGTAGACACCAATATGTCACAGTATTTAATTTTTATTTTGATTGCAGCTTGATTCCACACCGTATTTTTGGTACAAGTAGTTTAAAGACTGTCTATATTACAGAATGTAAAAGACAGGTGAATACAGTACTCTGCTGACAGGAACCAGTAGTTGAAAGAGACCCACAAAACACTATCCTATTGCATGTCGACTAACCACCAAATGTCCTTAGGCCAACATTTATACTATTTACAAATGATGTCAAGGCTTAAAGTGCCATTCATAGTGTTAGAACTTTAAAAAGACTTAGGGGAACTGACAGACGAAATTAAACTTGGTCTGAGGCCTTACTATACTAATTGGATTAGTAGATATAATTTGTAACAACCTGAAGACTACAGGAGGATCATTCAGGACTCCGTTCTCTTTCCACAGCATCGAGACATCTTGATGAGGATAGTGGGATATACATCAAATCTTGAACACCATAAATGTAACTAGTTGTCGTTCCAATGAAGAGAAACATTCTAAACAAGGGCAGAGAAGAGGTATCAAGTTAATCATATTGCACTTAAAAGAGGACTTATCTGGCCACTTAAACCTTTTTGAGATAACTCTAAGGAACTAAGAGGGAAAGTTCCAGAAGCTGTGGTCGAATAAACTACAACTGGGATTTTTATTCGCTTACTTGGTAGCAAACAAGAGAAATACATTATTAGTATCAATGATGTCTACCTGTGGAATGTGTAGTAGCTCATTCTTAATTTAAGATCCGAGATTTATATTTTAAACCGATTCCTCTCATTAGGTGGAATGACACGATAAGTAATACGACAAGGCATAGTGTTAGGTAAGGACATAATGTTGATTAGTGATGCTACGAATGTCAACCGATTGTGTTTCTTCATTAGGTTACAAAAAAGTCTATAATAGAAACAGTGACGTTACAATTGTTGTTGCAATCATTCAGGAATAACATTCTTTTTGTTACTATTTACGACTACCAATTTCAGATGTGCCAGATGCCTTACCAACTACAAATTGACATCAGTCATATCACCAACCAGTTGTTAAGTTCTGTCTTAAATACCAAAGTAGCGCATCTAATTGCCCATAAAGGACGCCGTTAAGGCGTGGCCGATAACACTTTTTAGAGATTAGTTTTTATTTTGCAGACTTTTACTAAGTTCCATTTTTAACGTCTGACCTCGTTTACAGATGTCATACTCAGCAAGTAGAATTAGGAGAACGAGACGACATTTTGGGGAGTGTTGTAAAAGCAAAAAAGAAATTAACTGGAGAATAAAACAGATCGTATGTCAGAAGTAGGAATTTCAATCAGCTCCACTGTGTGCGTCGGTGGCACAGTGGTTAGGACTCGTTGACCATGCACATGATCCGGGGTTTGATCCCCTGCCGACGCACATTTGATATTAATGGTCGGCCTGCAAAATTTGGGCTACCGATATCACATGCTGAAAATCCCATACTTCTACCAAAAAGTACTGTGTGAAATCAAGCTGTAATGAAAAAATACCTTCATAATATACTACACAGGTACATTAAATCTGTTCATTAATTTCAGATTCTAATAGCTACACTAATATCTAAGGGGATAAAATTTTACTTGTAATTATTTAGGTGTGTTTTGAAAGCGAGTGAAACCAGCCCATGTAACTAGAAAATTCAGTCAAATCGTTGGAAACAGCTATTAGGACATTTAAAGAGTTAATCACATAAGATTTTTTTCTGCAACATGATCCCCAGAAGATGCACAGTCACATTTTTATGCATACATTTACATAGCTGTAGTTATTACCCAATCCAATATAATACGAATGTCTGAAGGTTAGAATATAGATCACAAGGGACGTAGGGACAAAATTACATTTTTAAAAATAGTTACGTCGTACAGAAAAAAGTTCCTAAAGAAGACAGGCATGGACGGGTGCGCCTACAAGCAAACTGAAACCATAATTTTTGCAGCTGAACGTCAAAAAACGAAGGGAATGAAACAAGACTTCCGATATGCACATCCCAGAGACATATCTCTTTGTTAGAAAATATTTTACGTAGTACATAACTGATTCCAGTCCTAAGCAATTCTGTTTCTCTCCCTTGAGATGTATATTCAGACTTGCTA